TGCCAGGAATTCTTGTCTAAGCTGAGCATCTTTTTATTTTCTGTAGGTGGTAATCACACACAGGCTGGCGCTGGCGCTAGTGACGCCTCCCCGAGGGGTGCATGCACTTTCTGTTCCATAGAAGGAAAGGTGCCTGAAAGCCTGAGAGCTCAGGGCCTGAGAGCCGGGGAGACAGGAAGGACAGTGCTAGCGCACAAATCGTTGCAGACTCGTACTTGCTGCTTGCCATTCTGGTGAATGCTCTATGAGCAAGAAGTTAAAATAGCTGACTGAATGAAATCCATGGGTGTTCTTTGTCTAGTCCTCCCATAGCCATGCTGAAAATAGAATCCAGTCTACACTTACCACCTTTGGGTTTTCTCATTGGGAAGGTGTGTCCATTTCCCCTACTGGCATCTATAAAATGACAGTATTTGGTCCCCTTTGTTATGGTCACTTTGGGCGTGGCTGACTGCAAGTGGTCAGCCCTTCGGTAGGACTGGTTTGGGTAGCAGACAGGCCTAAGCATGTGAGTCTGCAGGGCATCAAGTCAGAGGGCACTTGGGGAAGATGCTGGAGGGGAAGGGGACATTGAAGGTGGGAGACCAGGAAAGCTGACAAGGGCAGGGTCAGACTATGGCCAGGAACAAGAATGACCTGTGCAGTTCTTCTCAAAGTCTTTACCTAATTACCTCTTCTTTCTAAAGCTTCTAAAGGAACCAACAAAGAAGGAGGAGGTGCCCCAAACTCCCGAGGTGCGAGCACACCCCCAGCCCTAGGAGATCTGTTCGCTGGTGGCTTTCCTGTATTGCGACCGGCAGGCCAGAGGGATGCAGCAGGTAAGAAAGATTCCAACTGGCCACCTCGTGGTCTTCATCACCTCAACTTGTGGAACCAACTGGGAAACCCACACGTATCAGGAGGTGGCATGTTTGTAGTGATTGTTCTTATAGCAGGAGATCATATATTTGGGAGCATAAGTACTGGAAGTTTCCAAAGCATAGAATTGTTCTGGAGGAATCTTTTAAATCATCATCCTGTTTAAATTATCCTGTTGTAATAACTGAAGGTGACTTAACATCGTATGTAGAATTTAGCAATGGTATGATCATGACCAAGACTGCACAGTATAGACAGAAAATGTAAATAATAATAGGTCACAGTGACATCGCTGTGGATTCACTAACAATGAGTCGCTTGTAGAGGTTCTCAATCATTGTATCGTTTTAGGTACTGCTGCATAACAAAGCTTCCTAAAACTTGGGAGCTTTATGTAACCATTTGTTTGACCTATAAATGCGGGTAGTCTTGCAATTTAGCTGGGCTTCATTTGGTTCTCCTGACATCGCTGTGGATTCACTAACAATGAGTCGCTTGTAGAGGTTCTCAATCATTGTATCGTTTTAGGTACTGCTGCGTAACAAAGCTTCCTAAAACTTGGGAGCTTTATGTAACCATTTGTTTGGCCTATAAATGCGTAGTCTTGCAATTTAGCTGGGCTTCATCTGGTTCTCCTCTAGCATCTTCAAGTAACTGCCGGTTGGGTAGCTGTCTTTGATAATTTTATGTTTCTTTTATCTCTTGAGGCCCCCCTGGTATAACTGGTCTATTCCACATGGCCTCTCAGTAGTTAGCAGGAAGTCCAGGTCTTGTTTTCATGGCAGTGGAAGGGTTTTAAGAGGGAAGGCAGGAGTGTATAAGGTCTCTTGGAGTTTAGTCTCAGATGTATTACTAGGAAGTAACTTAAATCTAAAAAGTGTTACTTCTTGTCATATCATCTTGGCAAAAGCATGTCACAAAGCCAGCCCAGAGACAAGGATGGGGAAACTGACTTCATCTCTTAAAGAGAGGAGCTACAGAATCACATTTCAAAGATTACACAATCTTATAGGCATGAGTGTGTCATTGAGGCCATTTTTGCAGTCAGTCTACTCAAGTCACTTTTGTGTTACAAGGCATCAGATGTTTTGAAAATGTTGCATTAAAGTTGGACAAATACATATTTAGTGTGAGCAAAGCTGTTTTTCCTTTAATTGTGTTGCTCAGCCATCAAGCTGAATAAACTCCGGGAATATCATTAATCCCGGAACTATCAAGTCCCAAACATACTGGAACTGGCTCTTCCACCACTTGACTTTCCTAATGGCCTCCATGTCTGTTTAACATGGGTAGATTTGCTGCATTTATCTACTAATCAAGACCAGCAAAAATGAGGGCTCTAAGAACTTTGAAATCCAACTTGAACTTTCTCAGGGGCCAATTTCATTTCATCATTTTTGCTAAGGTCTTCCTCAATGAAGAGAGCAAATGTTCATTAGCACCCTCTTTTTCAAAA